AGAATATTCCGCGCTCGTGACAGGCTTTCCTCCCGGTTGCAATCGCTTTTGCAGAAGTTTGACCTCATCGCATTTTACCCTCGTGTTGCCCCTTAGCGCGGCATTGCCGCAGTGCTGCGTCTGTGTGTCAATGAAAATGCGGTGAAAGTGCCAATTTTACCATGAAAAAACATTCTACCGCATGGTATTCTAGCCCGTTGTGACCGATTCCCTCTTCTTTATTATGAACGTTGAAAAAGCGATGTTATTCGTCACTGTGTCGCGTGAATAGTCTCACTTCATGCTTATTTGTGCCTAGAAGTTTTCTTTTACCGTTGCGAGATAAGGCGTTACTTGCGCAGGCCTTTCGCACTATATTTTTTGACGATCGGTTACCAGAGAAAGCGCCGATAAACTTTTTCTAGTGATGGACGACATTTTGAAAACTCTCTACCTTCTGGGCAGCGCCATGCATTTCGTTCGAAGCTTTCAAGATTTTCAGGTGTGTTGCCGTCAGTTTTCTGTGTTATGATATTCATTTACATCTTTTCTTGAATATTCATTCTTCCCGGTTACGATTGATAACCTAAGGCAGGCGAAAGACGTCTGTTTGCATTAAAATTTATGAATGGAATGTAATGGAAAAGATAACATCGTCGTCTTTCTGAATCAGCAGCTTTTCGCAATCACCATGAATATGGCGCCGTGATCGAAAATAGCACTGTCGCTAATCATGTGTCGACCAGGAAGTTTGGCAGAATCCGTCTGGTGGCTAGTGCTGCAGTTCAGCACTGAACATATCTGGCCCTTAGCCAGGGAACAACGATAGTCGTTTCATATTCATCGACTGTATGTCGCTGATCAGTCGTTTCCAGGTTTGTGACCAACTGTGCAAGTTCGTAGTGAGTGAAAGGAATAAATAATCACGCTCTAGATGCTACTTTTGCCGAAGACGTTGCCAACTAATACTAAATACTACATACCTTATAAACAAAGGCTGCGGGAGATTCATTCATACTGTAACCTGTTGGAAATTGCAAGCAAACAGAACGAGAAACTTAGCGACAAGGCTTTACTTACAAACTATACGAAGGACAACAACTGCAGACGCGAAATATCATGATATTCCATATCTATATAATAATCTCTCTCTGTTTCAACATGGACTGGTCATTTTATACACCTGTGGATTCTTTGTTCATCCTCTGGGACCAATCCGCGTTGACCTGCTGGCTGTACTTCCGGTGCAAGGTGCGCTGTTGCCCTGCGGCGTGCGGAGGTTGAGCGCTCCATCTTTTGTTCTGCCATGTTTCCGGCTTTGGTGGGGACGAGGGCTTGCCATTTCGTTCACCCTATGTCTAAGGTGGTGTGCGGGGTGGGGGAGGGGGTTGCGTCTGATTGCCTCCCCCTCGTTACAGCCGGTCGTCGCTGACCGTTGCGATAGGGGAAAACGAAATATACTGCTTGGAATTTGATAAAAGGACGAAAAGAAAAATTGCAGATCACGCAAAGAATAATGGAAAGGAAAATGGAGGGCGTCAGCAAATTGCATCATATAACAAACACTCTACTTCTCCCTGAAAAGAGGATAGCATGAACTGGGCACGTGTCGAAAATCGATGACAGCCCATTGATGAAGCTGATTCGCGACTGGTAGGTGGAAGGCTGTCGGTGCGAGGGGTTGATCCCTTAACCAGGATTTATGGCAAAATGTGGATATGAGTGTGCCACGGCAGAAAACTATGAACTAGCTATATTTTACACCGCTGATGCAAATACTTCTAACGGTGACAACATTGATCCTCCAAGAAATCAGATCATCCTCCTTCATCAGACGTCGCCTGTGACGAGGTTTAGTTACAGGATCTTAAAAGACAAACATTTGACAGCGATTTCAAAAGTTATTTTGGCATTGAAGGTAATGCTGGAAGGATGCGCAGTCAATGATAATATAATTTCAGTCGGTATTGCATTGCAGTTCCATGGAGGAAATTTGACAGGCCTGCACTGAGGAAAAAAAGGGAAAGTCGGCCTGCATTACACGTTCATGGTTTGGTACCATACGAGGTGCAGTTCTTCTTCCGTAGAGCATATGGTGCGGACCTAATCTACGTTTATGCAAAACTGCCAAGAATGTCTCATAAGCATTTTTCTTCTAAGGCTGTGTGTGCAGCTTGGTGACAACCTTCCTAGACTACGGTAGTCATTTATAAACGTGACGAAGAAGAAGGGCGAATGAAGCGACGTTGGCTCGAATTCATGTCCTCCGCTTTATGAGTTCCGACGTGCCACCGACTGAATGACCCATGCTCGCGCCGAAAGGGACCTTAAGCAACTTCCAGCTGTTGCTGCAGCAGTTGTGCCAAAAGCGACAGTGGCATGAAAATGGGCTGGCCGATGAAAACTACGCTGTATCTGCATTGAAGCAAAAAGCGCCTGCATCAGATTATGATAAAAATTCGATTTTTAGGCGTTTTGGCAGTTTGTTCTGTGACTGCGATGGATTGAAAAGGCACACATG